CCCCGGGCCCGCGCCACCTGAGGGCGCCTGCGCACGGGGGCTCCGCGGGAGCCGGGCGGGGACGAGGCCCGCCGCGGGCCACCACGCTGAGGTCGAGGCGCCGAGCACGAGACAATGATGCACATTTTAAAATAAAGGAATGATGCACATTTTAATAAAGCACAGCATAAACTGTTCTTTCCACTCCGGGCTGGCCGCGTATGTCTGTTCGTCGGATGGGGCCCACCAGCTAAATAACTTCCCTTCGGCCGCCTCTTCCCTCGGACCCAACTCTGCCTTCGTCCCTCTCCCCAACCCACCCTTGGTTCTCCAGCGAAATCCACACCACTGTGCTGGACGCCGGCGGCTGGAGGAGGGGCGGACCCACAGACAACGCAGAAAAAAACGAATGGCCGCGCACCCCAGACGCAGCCAATCTTCCCAAGCGGGAATTAGGTTCTGCTACCTGCTCTTTGTGACCCGGAGCGCCCCTAGCCTTGTCGGAGGGGCTTGGAGCCGCTCCAGTCCATCCAAGCCTTAGTGTCTGCTAGGACCGATGGGACCAAAAAAGATTGGGGAAGAGGTCGTTGGAAAGACTTTGATTTCTGCCGGGCTCGGTGGCTCAGCCTGTAATCCCGCGCCTTCGGAGGCTGAGGTGAGTGGATTGCCTGAAACCGCGGGTTCGAGACCTGCCTGGGCAACTTGGCGAGACCTCATCTCTGCAATAAATCAAAAATCAGCCGGGCGTGGTAGCGCGCGCCTGTAGTTCCGGCTACTCGGAAGGCTGAGGCGGAAGGATCGCCGGAGCCCAGCAGGTCGAGGCTGCGGTGGCCGGGAGCGGCCACTGCACTCCGGTCTGGGCGACAGAGTGAGACTCCAACTCAAAAAAGAAAAGAAAAGAAAAGAAAAACTTGGTTTCTTAACGTCCTGCTTTACAGGTGAGAGAATTGAACCTTAACAGACTTGTTCAGGGACTCCCAGATGTGTCCTCGGACTAAATGCCCTAAAATCCATCCTTGGGGTAGCCCATGACACAGAGGCTGCTTGGAAGCGATAGTATTTAGGCTAAACAACTGTTTTCCACTT